GTACAGCCCTTTGCAAAAATTATGAGAATTGTCTAAATATCTAAATATCATAATATCCATATCCATATATTGTCCGGAACACGCGGGTTTGATAGAATACATGTAATTCATTGTTGACATCGAGAAAATGTTCAGAACTACGGATAAGTCAATAGCCAAAAAAAAACTAAACTACAAAGACAAGGGACTAAGGGCATCGCGCGGGATTACCCATCATGCACTCGATATTATGATATTTAGATATTTCAACAATTCTCATAATTTTTGCAAAAGGCTGTATRTTGAAAATCACCTAAATATTTACAATGTAGAACTTTTTTTACAGTTTACAATGTAGTCATGTAAAAATATATTCATTCCAGTTATGACAAAAGAAGCCTCTTATACTGACTGACTCCWTGTTCTTTATAGAGTTTGGTTGAAGCTGTATTGATACTTGATACCCTGTGCCAAAATGATAAATCATTGGTACCTAAACTAATAGAGATAGTTAGAAGACTATACACTAGACTCACAGGAGACATGAACAGATGGAAAAGACCAGTTCTCCCTGTTGTACAGTTCCTACTCAATCATGGTAAATTAGAATGGTCATATGTTTGTAAAATTCCTTATTTTTTGTGGTTATTCCCATTGTAAGATGGGAAAACACTACAGCATATAGTATTGTTTTGTAAGTGTGCAAGTACATAGTTTACAAAATAGTATAATTATTACTAATGTTTGGAAAAAAAGTTTGGAATCATTTTGTCAATGGTTGATATTTCTGGCTGCTCTCTGTGGATTTACATACATCTACTTAACCCTCTTCCACACATCATGAATTTCATCATATTTTCTAACAGGTGATGACTTATTGAACATGTACTAATAAAAGTGTGTCATTTTGCTATAGGTGAATCTGTCGTATTTGATCCTGAGCCGGCATGTAAAATAGTCTTTGGTACAATGGTAAATGCATTTTACATGAGGTACGACAATGTAATTGTACAAAGTATAAAAATTCAAAATTATTTMAGCTATTTCATATTACTTTTCAGTCCCTCATTCTCCTTTGAAGTAATAATGTTCTGTCTAGACAACATGGAAAAGCTTTCCTTGACAACAAGTGTTTTCACAAAGTTCTTTCCCAATCTTTTTAAGGTGGGACTTTTTTCATTTATTCATGTACAATATGTAACATTACGATTCTAAATGTACATGATGAATTAATCAGTATTTGATAAAGGGTTAATTTCAAATATCCACTAGATAATTTACCCTTACAAGGCCAGAGAATCCATGCAAAATTTATGGAGGGGAGGATAACTTGTCTGGTGGATAGATTTATCCTCTTTTTGAACTTCTGGTCCCTTGTGAGAAATAATCCAATGTCCAGCACAATTTGTCTTGTAGATACTAGCATGGTCACCGAGGACGTTTCTGAGAGAGTTCATAGAACTRCTGCCTGTCATGATGTCTGAAGATTCAGCTGTCGAGGTATAAGCATGGATTTACGTGAAAAACGAACAATTTAGTCTTAACTCAATAAAGACAAGATTCAAAGTGTTCAAAGCTATTAAATTTGTTTGATTGTTGTTTTTATCARTAGATTTTCCACACCATTCTTGACCTTCCTTGCTTATCTGCTGCCCTTTGCGCTGCCTGGGCATCTAGAGGTAAATAACATTCACTTTAAAAAATTCTAAAGATTGTGGATTAGCTAGCAAGCTACATGTATCGTAAACCAAGACCTAAAGTGGGAAAAGAAAMCATTCAAAGAAGATCACTCCATGTGATCTCTCTCGTTTGTCTCTTTAATACTTTTAGACAAAAGCAATAAAAACTCAAACTCTTTCCCCTTATATGCCAAACTTCTTGCGATARTAAGTGAAAAGCAAAATATTTGATTACTTTTATGTTATTTCTTGTGTCAGGTTCAGAAGGATCCAATCCAGTACCTACTGCAGTGAGTGCGTATTTGGACCCACAGCACAGACCTCTATTCAGCTTCATTCTCAGACCCGAGTCTGGCTGTGGTGACACAATAACGAGGTACCTTTTGTATTTCCATTGGGACTCGACAATGTACTGATGTATTTTCGTAGTCAGTATTGTATTTTTCTTTTCCTTTTCCTCTAAAACAATACGAAAACATACCAATGAAGAAAATACAAGCATCGTTTTTACTTTTATTATTTTTCATTGACATTTTTTATATCGTTTCTCATATCATCACTGGAAAAAATCGCGCGCTTTTAAAAAGGTTGTAAATTTGATGTAAATATGATGTAAGTGTCCAAAATTCTGTAAATTTAATAGAAATCATTTACATGTACATCAAATTTACAGAATTTTGGACACTTCCATCATATTTACATCAAATTTACAACCTTTAAAGCGCGCTATTTTTTGCAGTGTAGAGGTTATTACATGGGCGCTTGGAGATACAGATTGTATCATCGAGTGTTGAAAAGATCTCTCTCGAGTGAGCTTGGCGAAGAATATAAAACCCATGTCTCCAAGTGACCGACATCTTGCACAACACTTTCTTGGTCATGAAATTCTCCATAAATGCAAACCATCTTTTTAATCAACCTTTCTTAATCTTCTTTACAAGTTCTGAAGAGATCAAATTTTTTGAGAGTGAGAAATATAGGTTTTTGTGTGGACGAATGACAAATCTTGCTTTTAACGTCTTTAGGTTAAAAGCACTCAATAGTTTRCTTGAAGACATGGCCGACCATCCACGTGTKATCGTCWGTTCACAGATTGCACCATCTTTAGTTAGGTAAGGTAATCTATAGTGATTTTTACAGGAGATACCCGAGGGACTAGTACAGCAATATGAAACTCGAGTTAGAGTGCGACTTCACAAAAAAAGATCAGAATTGTAATTTTTTTTATACAAGTGAGACTAATTCTATTCCATCATTGTCTAGTTTGTATTTCACAACTCTCCTAGAAGAAGCAGACGTAGATACTGTCAGCAAACTGATTCCAGTTATTTTAGAGAGATCATCTCTGCTGTTCGATTGCCAATCTTACACACTAGATACCCGAAGGTAATWCTCAATTCTTGTTGCTGTAGTTTCTTAGCTTTTCAAATAAATTTGAAGCGTTTTTGTAACACAGGTTTCAATGAAAAGAGACATCATCTTTGACACATTGCCAGGCTTCTATGCATTTCCTTGAACATTTAAGCGCATTTAAAGTGAAAATATTGGACAAATATACTTAATAATCATTGTTATTTATTACTGATATTGCAATAAATCAACATTCGTTGTWTAGAATACTGGGCGATAAATTAGTGGTGATATTCCAGAAGTACCCRAGTCTAGTTTCAACGCATCAACAAGAACTCATGGAATTCATAACTGGCTTCAAAAATCTAGGAACTGACAAAGAACATGTCTTTATTAATCTGGTAAACCTTTCATGAGAAAAACCCTTTTTTCGTCTTATTTTAACTTAGACGTATAGTAATCGAATGGTCAATTTATATATAATTTTCTGATTTTTTACCAGGTTTGGTCAATTGGAGAATTTGCGTCTACAGCGTACGATGGTGGCTGTACCGTTCAAACTATTGTGCAATATTTCGAGGTAAAATTTACCCTTTTTACAAACTTCACCTAACGACAGCTATTAGTTGTGTATTACTCGTTTGCAATACCCAGTTTTATATTATGAGAACAAGCTACATTTATCATTATATTATGATATGGGCAATGCTAGGTCATTTCATTTCTACAACATTGACAGAGTGTCATCACTATATTGAATTATTATTCTTATTACTTCAGACTCTCGAAGCTTTGACGTACGAGATAGTTATGCAGTCAACTCCCGGAAAGGTAAATCACAAACAAATTCTTAATTTCAGAAATAAAGTTTCATTTTTTTTTTAATTAATTTTTTTTTCTTTAAATTGAAAAAGAGAGTCAGTTTTATGTATAGTTTAAAGCACTTGGTGATCTTGGTAAAACGCCTAAAATATATGACAAAATAGATCTTGAAACGATCAAAGCTCTTACTAGCAGGAATGATTCTTTGGAGCAACAAACTAAAAGCTTATTTAATGATTGTTGTGTATTTTTTTCCTTAGCTTGTCTTCTCAGGTAGATTGGTGTCTGTATGCATGACAGCTTTGGCCAAGGTATGGTTGTTCGGCATTGCTTTACGTTCTCTCGCTCCTTTCGTTGTTTTTGTTGTTGTTGTTCATGTTGCTGCTGCTGCAGCTGTTGTTGTTGTTGTTGCTGCAGTTGTTGTTATTGTTGTTGCTGTTGTTGCTGTTGTTGCTGTTGCTGCTGTTGTTGTTGTTGTTTCTGTTATTGTTGTTACTACTGTTGTTGTTGTTGTTGTTGCTATTGTTGTTGTTGTTCGACTTGTTTACTTCATGTGTCTTCAAGTTCCTTTTTTCTTAGTCTTTAACCTTTCGTTTTGTTTTTACAACATTCAGCTTGCTTCTCGCTGCCAAGACCTCATACAAAGAGCGATAATGTGCTGTAGCAAGGTGGTGAGGCAAAAACCCGTAAGTCGCCTATCTATGACCCCTTAGCATTCTGGGAATTACATAGGAAGCCCAAAAGCATAGTCACAAATAATTCGGTATGGTTACTTTGCAGGAYATGCTATTAGATGCCGAGTGCTATAGTGACCTTGTAACACGTGCACAGGAGTTGATCCAACTTCTTAAATTACCAAAGTATGTAATATAGCGTGTTTATAGATGCTACACTTATTGACTTACAGTGTAGTAATGTCCAATCTCTCTCTTTCAGTGTTGCWCCTGTCATTCTAAGTCCTGACGCAGATTGGATGTCGGGAAGGTACAGTAGAATTATTCTGTTAGATCTGGTCGTCTCTCGCAATGCATCAAGGGAAGGAGGAAGAAAGGGAGTTATGATCTTCTCGCTTCTTTCAACATTCCCTTGATGCCTTGCGATATTTGAAAAAGACAACGTAAGATGACTGACTGCTCTATGAACTAAATTCTCCAAATTCATGCAATCACATAGATAACTCAGAAGAACTGCCCTAAGTTATGTCACCCACCGTATAGCATCAATGCACGAATCTTTGGGGACTGGGAAGGGGACACGTGATTCAGCAAGTCCGTGTCCTATATAAGGAAAATGATGTAATCTATTTTTGCCTTTATTACCAGGTGGCACAGGGACAAGAACACTTCACTTCCCTTGCTTCTGCAGTCAACTAAGATGGTTTTATCCTAAACATCAAGGTGAAGACTTCTATTTAATTGGTTATAACCGTTAAGTCTCTTCTCTATACATTAATAAATTGCAGCAAGAGGGCTTGTTTTACGACGAGTATTAAGGCACTCTCGACGTTTTTCTTACACGACGTGGATTAAGGGAGAGGGGTAGATTGTAGTCATTGTTTCATAGGTTGTCGCAAAAGCTTTCAAAATTCTGTGCCGTAACAACTGARAAATATTGTTTTAAATTGAAACATTTAAACGTAATTTAAACGTACTATAAATTGTAAATAGAAATTATTTAGTAAATCAAAAATCAAATAGAATTTTCGCTTAATAATGTATATAAAAAAATTATAAATATTATATATTGACAAAAAAGGTTTATTTTGTTTATAAATGTTTTGAAATTTTGACGTTTTCTGTTATTTTTGGTATATTATCAGAAGTGTAGATAAGTACAGTAGTATAGGTATGTAGTAGTAACAGTTAACAGCTTAAACAACAACTTTTTTACCTCTCTTAACCTTTTTATTGAATGTCTCCCTGCATTTCTATGTTTTTATTAATGATTTTTATAAATTAATGTACCCCGTGGTGCCCATGACTAGTATGGTGTTTTCTATGCCCTAATCCTTTTCGAGGAACATGTCCAGGGTGATGTGGAATGAGTTTTGCTTCTCCTCCGTGTCCCCCCGGACCTACTGGTAAYGCTTCCAAWAGAACAGCAGCAGTAATGAAAACAAAGTAAACTACAAGAAGAACCCAGCCCAATCGTTTATCGAGCTTCCATTTGTTCAAATGAATGACAATAAGAGTTACGAAAACTGTTCCAAATAGACACAACGCAGTATAGACAATATGGCCGCTCTGTATCAAAACGACGCTGTGGGGGTGGACTAAGGTCGTGGCTAAAAACCAAGGAAGCCCAAGACACAAGATATCAAATATATTACTACCGACGCAGTTGGCTAGTGCCATGTCTCCCATGCCATGTTGAGCAACAACTAGACTGGAGATGACATCCGGGACACTCGAGCCAGCAGCAAGAAGAGTCAGCCCCATGATGCATTCTGGGATATGTAGGGTTTCGCCAATTATTGATACAGCCCATACTAGGATATAAGAGATCAACGCCATCCATAGTATGGATAAAAAGAATGTCAAAGGRTACCAGGCTTCCCACTCTTTCTTACGACAGTCTGGCATTGTCACATAGAATATCAAATGTAGTGGCARYAAAAGGAACCAAAGGCCCCTTTTTATAAGGGTCTTTGGTAAGTTAAACGGWGATGAGGGTTCAAATCCATGTGGATGAGAAACCCCATCTGTGTTTTCRATTTGTTCAGTCTTTGTGGCACCATCGGAYGGAAGTTCTTTTAAGTCTTCGTTTTCTTTTGAAAGTAGCTCCTGGCCGTCAGTCAAGTTTYTGTCATCTTTMTTGTCTTGAAGTGATTCCAATGGGTCATCCATTTCAACCATTTCCATACCTTTTTGAATGTTAAAACATTTCCCGCACATTTCCTCAAATATTTCTTCTAACCGTCTATTAAACACCATTATCAATATATAAAAGCTGTACATAAGAGGGAACAAAAGGGCCTCATAAAAATGCACWATATTGTCATGTATGACGACCAAAAGGCCCGTTAAATGTACCACGTACACTACTGAGTCGCGTATAAGAGGCCATGTATGTAACGTAATCGCCATCCCAGCAAACAGGCCACAGATTGCAGTAATGAAAAGAATGTTAAACATYGTCGAACCGATGATCGTACCCAGTCCTATATCTCCCTCGTCCATGAATACAGATGCTATGGCGATGAATAATGTCGGCATAGAGCTTCCTGCTGCCATGAAGGTGGCGCCGGCAACGTCTGTGGGAATACGCAAGCTGTTGAAAATATTGAAAACTWATAAATAAAGTAATAAAAATAAGATAAACAGTCTTAAAAAAGAACAYTTGAAATCCAATGTGCTGCCGCACCATTTTCAGCAGCAAAGCATGATGGGAGATGTAGTCCTCGCACTATTTTTTCAATKTGTGCTGAAATWGTTCTACTTCTKTTKCTTTGCACATCCATATCTTAATCATGGAAGTATTTTACCTTTTACAAAGCTTCTCTAAAGACGCGCAAAAGTAGTGATCACACAGCACAGCCAGTGCGGCAAAACAATAGAGACAGACCATTAAATGAACCAATACCCAGCCATTTCTACGTTCTTCAAGTGTAAAGAGAGCCTTGTACTGTAATACGCTAATGACAGGACGATTTGCAATCGAACAATTGTAAAAATGTGGCCTATGTTTGTGGTGGATGACACCCAGTTTCCGCGTCCATCTCTCTATGGTGTCCATGGCAACTGGTTATTCTAAACAAACAAAGAGGGAAATTGGTAGACCTAAATGCATAGATAACGCGAAAAATATATTTAAAAAAAACAAATACAGCAGCGACAAGAACATTAACAACAAACACAAAGTGAMACAGCAACAATTGTTATTGTTTTTGTATTTCTTGTTTATTTAAAATGAGGATTACATCATAGAAAAGATTGCAATCTACATTGAGTTTTCTTTAGGTTATCCTGTATATTTGAATGAAAATGTACCTCCCCCCACCCCTTCTCCTTTTCGTGTGTTATTTGTCTTATTCTGAACAAGGAATTCGCCAAACTTTTGTATGGACCGCTGTCACATTTAAATCGTAGACTCAAAGCCCGAAGCGTAGTATTATATATGCATTACGTTTGAAACACACGAAAGCGCAACGTTCCCTTAGATTGGTAAATTATGATGTAGTTATGTAAAAAGATAAATTTAACACCGTAAAAAGTATACTTTTTTACGGTGTTAAATTTATCTTTTTACATAACTGTTTCTTTAGAAACACCGACGCAGCTCACACTAGTTTACCGCTAGTTCCCACCAAATTATGATGTAGGCGCGCATCTTAAACGTTYAAGCAATTGGCAATTAAAAATATATCTAAACTACAATTTAAGTAGGCTTAAAAGCCTCTAAAACTACAATTATTCTAGTGTTTGTGCTTCTGTCAAACTGGCAAAGCTAAACTTTTATAGGTGGAAAATTGCTTTCTATTTAGAAGCTAGCCCTTTCAGTCTCCATGGGTGAACATATCGAGCCTCAATTCATTCAATGTCTATCTAATGGCATTGCCAACTCATTTCTTGATTAGTTCTTTGGCCAGCCAGCTGGCCCCATATTCTTTGGGGAACTGCTCGTGCACAATGAAGTGCTTTGCTGTAATTCTACCCAATTTTATCGTTTTAATAAGCACCCCCTCTTTCGTTTGTGTTAATTTTCTTAGCAACTGCTCTTATTACGTTTGGAAGCACTAAATGATTTGTCAACAACTCGCTCATCGTATTTTGTTGCTTTCAAGCCCGATTATGAGCCATGGAAGCCATTTAAAAGCTAGTATTTGYTGATTGCTCTTTGATGGCATCGTCTCATTTTGCTGTTGATGTGCGCCATTTTGTACGTCAAAACTATAATCGYTTGTCAAGTGAACTTGTGCCTCTTTGGAACCCTCCAGTTGAACTTCCATTTGCCGATTTAATGAAACAAATGTCAAAGTGATGTCAAAAGCTGATTGAATGCTCGTTGATCACTTACTTTCGTGACTGTTCTTAGTCAAATGTACATCGAGTTTGACCATAGTAGACAACCATGAAAACAACGTCTTTGATCACATGTTTTCTTGTAAACAAGTGATGCATGGAAGGGATTCAATATAGGTAGCAATGATCAGGAACATAAAATACATAATCAAGAAGCCAATTCCAATTCGTACATTCAGTGTCCAGTTGTTCAGGTGGACGAGCAGAACTGTACAAAATATGCTGCCAATCAACATGGCTGAAGTAAAGAAAATATTCTCACTCTGGATAATAACTGGCTGGCCTGGTTGAAGAACAGCACTCTTGATCAGCCAKGGRATCCCTAAGCACAGCATATCAAAGACATTGCTACCTATGCAGTTAGACACAGCCATGTCTCCACTTCCTTGCTTAGCCACCACCAAACTTGCAATAGCGTCGGGTAARCTRCTTCCTGCGGCCAAGAAAGTCATGCCCATGACGCCTTCTGGAATAGTATAGGTGTAGCCAATAATAGCGACCATCCAAACCAGGAGGTACGACAAGAAAGCCATCCAAATTACTGCAATGGTAAATGTTACCAGATAAAATCGACGCAGTGACCTCTTCCGACAATCAGGAATAGTAATATAGAACAAGAGGATTGATGGCAGGGTGAAAGCCCAGAGGATCTTGGCATATTTTCCCTCTGGTGGCCGTATTCTTGATGCTGGAGTCTCATGGAAGCCCCAATCGTCGGTACTGTGGTCATCCGTCTCACTCTGGTCGTCTTTCTCTTCTGAATCTTTCTTTTTAAATTTTTCTGCTATTTTCACACAGCAGCTTTCTATATTGCTGTTGAAGTACATCACTAGAATATATATAGCGTACACGATGACAAAGACCAGGCCCTCGTACCAATACACCTTGTTGTCATAGATGGATATCATTAGGACTATTACACTAGCTACATACACCGTAGAATCTCGAAGCACGGGGTACCATGCCAAATAAAGCGTCGCTCCCGCACCAATACAGCACAGAGCTATAATGAACAAAGTGTTAAATATAGTAGAGCCTACTATGGTGCCTAAGCCAATATCTCCTTCAGTGAAGAAAATGGACACTATTGATATAAACAGGGTAGGGGCAGAACTCCCAACAGCCATGAATGTGGCTCCCGCGACGTCGGGCTTCAGACCAAGGCAAAGACTTATCTGGTTTAAAGAAGCAACGAAGAAATCTTCACAGACAACTGTAAGTGCGCAAAATATATGCATTGAAAAGATCAAATGGAGCACYACACCGCCGTAGAAGCGCTGGTCTTGGGTTAGAAGATCCGGTGGGAATTCCTCTATGTTTGGTGGTTTACAAGCGATGGCACAGCCCTCCAAGGCTTGATCAAGTTGATAAAACGAAGTAATGTTTTCCAGACTATTCATGTTTATAGGTTTCTCTGTGTAAGTTTACTTTGATGGTTATTAATTATTCATAAGGTCTKTAATCTCCTGATTTTTTGACCAATGTCCTAACATTTATGCAATCGCTCTGTCTTTATAAATGGGTTATTAAAAATCGCTTGTAAATCAAGAATAGATGTTATTCGATGATATCGCTGAATTGTGGATATTCCAGTTGGTCATTTAAAGCCGCGCTGCCGTATCGTCTTGATTATTAGATTTTGGTAGACGATAATTGTGAAATTACCAACGTTTCGTGGYAAATAGCGACCCAAATTTTCCGTGTGACTGTCAGTGAACCTTTGGCAAACCTTGGTGAACCGTTCATAAGACCAAAAGCCAAGGCTTCCCACGTCGAAGACTACCCACAATTAACACAATTTACCGATGAACTACCGCTTTTCATCTCGTATCATCTTAAAACGGAAAGAGAGCTGGTTGTCRGTTTCAGATGTGAAAAGCTTCTTGGTTGTAATCTGACCTTAGACCACCTTCAACAAAATAAGGTCGACACGCTTATGGTGGCGATCAGGAGTGACTTTTCTTCGAGTGTATTATTTTATCTTCGACAGGTGGTTCATTGAGTAACTCAACAGGTAGCTCTTGATACCATTGGCAAACATCAAAATGTGGCACAAAACAAGTTGTAAGCTCTAGTAATTACATCATTTACTCTGTTCAGTCAGCCATATTCGTTTTAAAATGGCGGTCGTTCCTTTCATCTGGAACAAAACTCACTGTGTATCTTGCTGGCATTTTTTTGTTTGTCGACATAAACTATAACAAATTCTATTTGTTATAGTTTATGTTTAAATCGTGAATGAAAGGTTGCCGAATTAATGTTTTTTTGGTATCTATAAGTGGGTTTGTGCACACGAGGCTAGTGCATTTTGACCTTTCTCATTCTATATCCAGATTTYCTGGATTCTGGTCTCCGGTGCATTGCCAATTTAATATAGTTGTGCCTTTAAAGCAGTTGGCCATGCTATCTGTTCCCTGAGTGGCACTGATGACACTGATAAATAGATTTATTCATTTGGAATCAAAATGCACGAATACTTTTCCTGAAGGGATTACTATGGTATTGTTATATAACCTGTTSACAATTTGTTTTGCTAAGCTGAAAGGTAAAACAAKTCTTAGACATGCGCGGAGCAAGGCCAGGAGAAGCAATTGAAAACGAGGCAACACAGGAAGCCCAAACTAGCTCCTTTTACRAAACACTGAACACCAACAGATAGATGAATACGAAACTGTTACATATAAAGTATCAGCACTCTGTATTTGCTCACTTTTGGCCATATCATGTGTCAGGCGTTTGACTCGGGTTTAGGTAGGATCAAGGAAGATCATTGTATTTTTGATATATATCCGAAGTACATCGTTTCGGGTTAACATTCTGTATTCCTTTAGCAAGTAACCATTGTAATTTTGCACTTCTCAGTGAATTAAGRCAATGTGAAAGTRAAGCATCTTGCCCAAAGCCAAAKATACTGCCTAGTCGCAACGGCAGTCACCCYTCCTGGGCAAACCTGGGGTGCTACGAGCTGACGTCTAACCCCGTGCGACTGACGCACAGTTCAAAGTCTACATCACGAGGGTCAAGTAAGAGAAGGTTTCGATAAATATCAGCAATGATTTAAGTCTAGAAGTTCCTTGGTCATGATTTTGACTTCACTGTTCAGACACATCAACTCATTACATGAAGACATTATGTCATTTTATACTCAAGTTAGCTTAATAAGTACTTAAATAGTCATAAATGAAACAATGGAATTGGTGCTTGCTAGATTACAGTACGATAACTAATAGTATTTCACGGGTTATGTGACTTCACTAATTCTTGGAAACTCCTCCTTTTAGTGTGATATCCCGCCGTTTTTACATGTTTGTAAAACTAAGCAAAGCGACTCTAACAACTTTTGCAAGTTGGTAAAGGTCAGAAAAAGACAAATAACAAAGTAAACTGGTCAAAGTCTACTACTATTGGCTKGGTTATTATTTCACAGAGACGACGCAAAAACACTGTTGTTTGACTAATGCCTTTTCGTTCAAACTGTTCAATCAATGGTTGCATTACACTTACAACCATTTTTCCTTAAAATACCGCAGAATTTGAATAGGTTTTTTTTTTCAACAATCAGGTTGTCATTTAAATCATTACTAAGCTATAACATTTGACAAAGGAATTCGCCGGTAGTATGAAGCCGTATTTGAGTGCATATAGTCGCTCCAAGATCGAGGGATACTTCTATTTTACACCAAAATCTACTCAACCGTGTAACAGCATTTTTGACTTTGAATTGCCGTCTGTGTTATTTTTAACTCRCATACAGTTATTAATCTCCATGGCATATAGTCTCGGAATACTGGTAAAAGTTCATATCTTTTACTCGGAATCGGAAGATTAACATTGATTAGGAATACAATGACAAATGTTTTTTTTTACTTACATCAAAACATGAAAGTCTTCAACTGGATTCTTTGTCCGCTTRCTATTAACATCCGTCCTTTAAAATGCCACTCATTGTTTACAACTTCCCGACTTATATCCTAGAGTGTAATGAACGTCTTCAGTCGGATCAAACGTTCGAATTTTCTACGATCAAAGGTTCGAATCCTGTTGGTGTTTATATGTACATAACATGGATCGACAACTCTCAGCAGGTACCGGTACACACTCGTAATCCTTYAGTACCTACTATTGTAGAACGTAACTGTAAACGCTTTGTCTTGATTGGCTATTTTCTGTAAATTACACAAACATTTTTCTTAGAGATTTCCGCATGTAACTTTGAGATGTACAGATAACAAATCAAGGCATTTGCCGGAATGGAAGACTCAGTGTGTTTCAAAGTGAAGGCCTTTCGTGCTTCTCGTAAGAATCTCAATATCAATTTCACTGAACATAATTCAAATACGTCTCTCGTTAAATGAAGTTTATAATCAAATCTTTCAAAATATCAAGTAATAAACAATATACAGGGCAAACAAATCAATTACATCTATTTRTACATAATCCATAAACCAAAGTTCATAAACCTGTCTTTAATTTGCTGCAGTGTTGTTTGAGGTACTTTTGTTTTTTACCGCTTCTTGTTSGTGGACGCTTTCTGGCGTTTTGCTCACGTTGTGATTTTGTGTAGTTTCTATCACTTGACGTTGCTTTTGGTCTCTATGAGATGACTTTAAGGGAACTTTATCATTTTCCTGCTTATTTTTCGCATTAAATGGTGGATCTAAATACTCCTCATCCTCATCTTCTTCATATTCGTCCATCCATCGATCAAAKGCATCAACTGTGGTCTTTTTAGCGATTTTAAAAGTTTTAAAAATCCCCCATAGAGATAAGAAAGGCATTGCAATGACACCGAGGCTTGCTGCAGCAATCACTGACAAATTGCGTTGCAGTGTTGAGCTGTTTTGTCTTTTGTGAAACTTGTACAACTCTTTTGCCAAAAAATATGGTGGACTCAAAGTTCCTGCTGTAACGACTACCGCACCCCATCCTGTAATAGAACGAAACGTAAAGCAATTAAGCAAAAAAACAACAACCTTTCCCCACCACTTTTCAATTCGAAACGCTTAATGATTGGATGGATATTCGCTGTACAATCGATAAAAAAACGCTTCTGTAATAGCATTTGTTCATGGTTTATTCACAATGGAATCGCCATTATTTGTGAGTTCTTTATCTTGTATTGCAATTATCCATGCAAACTTACGGCAAGCGAGCCTTGAAAAGGGGTATTTTTACCTTTCATTAGTWCGCCGGGAATATGCATGTATTTTTAAAAGCGCCACTATCTCAGAAAGCGTTTACTGGACAAAAAAAAATTAAATATGTAATTTACCTACCTACAGCAAAGCTAAAGCCAAGAGGAACCACTATCGCGACGGCAGTCCCAAATGATAAGTAGTTCAGAATAACTCGCCGCTTGCTAAACTTCTTGCTGCCCCAGAGAGGGCACTCAAAGATGTGAAAACTACCTTCATCGCAAATCTTTTTACAAATCCAACAGAATTCTGTTCTACAAACCAAGCATAACATCATGTTACATCTGCCGTCATTCTTTTTCTCGATGATTGTGCCACATTCTGGACAGTAAGCATATCTTCTCGATTTTTCTACCCACGATTCCAGGTTTCCTGGTAGTTTGCAGACACATTTGTTTTGAGTGCAGTCAGGTCCTCCCTGACACGCTGATTTTGAGCGTCTACCTTYGGTGTGTCTGAAAAACTCGAGTTCTCTTCGTATTCTACGTAGCCTTATGTACGCCGGCTTGTTTTCGTGGCTTAATAATCTAATTATGAATGAACAGTCAAATTCTTCTTTGCAATCAGGCCTCGGGCACTCGATGTTAGTAATCATATTTTGGATCTGATTGTTGAAGTATATTTTAAGGCAGGATTTGCAGTTGTAGTGTCCGCAAGTGTTGTAGCCTTTTTGAGGGTCATCATCAAAACCCTCAAAGCATGTTTCACATTCGTACTTGTGTGRGCGTTCGGCCTCAGTATCCAGAAGTGCATCAATGGTGAAAAGCTTCATTTCTTTCGACGTTTGGTTCAGTTGAGGCTCAGATAAATCATCCTTTTGCTTAGCAACTTTATTTTTCTTCTGCCACCATCTCTTCTTGGGCTTTTTATCAGGTGTTTCTTCTTTTGCAGCGTTCGTAACAGCAGAAACTTTTTCCGAGATTGAATTCTGTTTCGTAGCATCACCTATGTGGTTGCTTTTAACAGGGTCAAGGGCTACCATTTCATACCAAAGGTAACCGTCCTTTGTACCAAGAAAACGTGCAACGTCCCAAGGGTCGTAGACATTTGAACAGCCTTTGTTCCCGCAACTGACCGTAGTTCTTCCAGACGCTATTTGTTCCAACATATATCTTTTTTGGTCGAAACGTTTTCCTTTCTTTTCTTTACCTTTACAAAAGCTTGCGGGAGAAAAACCTCCATCCTCGTTGAGAACAAATTTRCAATTAATAACTTTGCTTTTGTTTTTCATGGCGATTGGATTGAATCGGCTTTTGTTGGTGTCATCAAAATCCTCTATGTTTTCATAATGATAGATATCATCTCCATTAAGCGCACCGCAAACTTGCTTCACTTTCTCCATTGTCACTGCATCATTTGGCTTTCCTGCACCTTCCCATTTTTTAATCTTYACTGAACTTAAATGCAACTCCGTTATACCACTTGCTTTATTTCCTGGGGTTTTATCACTGACACCAGCTTTACACATATCAGTCAATGTTTCTTTTKGACTAGCAAATTTGCTTTTTGGCGAGCCATCTTGTGAAGGTGCTTTTCCTGTACTTTCTTCAGCTACACGGGGAACACGTTCATCCACGTTCTTCATTTTCTCTTGAATTGACTTCAAAGGAATATTCTGAATAGTTTCTCCATTGGAAGCAACTTTGTTTTGGGGTTTGTCATCTTTAGTCATATTCGGACGGACTTCATCGATGTTCTCTGATGTTTTATGGCCTGATGTTTCTTTTGGGGCAGCGGATGTACTTTGCGCTGTATCATCCGTGTCCTTTTTGTTCTGGCAGGCCGCGCTTTCGTTGGATTGTTCCGTTATGTTGTCATTTATTGAAAGAAAAATGTTCCGAAAAGTTGATATTTCCTTGATGAATTTAGCTCGGGCTTCTACGACTTTTCTTTCAAAGACAACTAGTTCTTCTCGGAATTGCCTCAGCTCGTTCAAAGAACTTTGTAGCTGACTACTTACACTTTCAAACTCGGCTTCTTCGTCGGTTAAATGTTTGTTGTCGTCACCTGGTTTCGAAATCATTGTAAGTGTTGACTTGCTTTCTTCATTGTTTGTATGTGCAAGTTGTTCGTCCATCGTTGAAAGCATTGTTWATGACGTTTGCTCGACTRTGATGTCAGCAATGTATGACGTCACATCTTATGCGCGCRTTTCAATCTCGAGCCCASAGGCAACCCAAGCTAAGCATTTGACTAGCTGATTTAGCGATATCTATAATGCATGTAAATATTTAAATTTTCTGAAACTGAATAAACCACAAGAAAGTTTACTTTTTTATTGTAAAGTATTTCTTTGTGAATTCCAATTCGATGTTGCTAGAATCTCGACGTTGTTTTTGTAGTGTTGGTAAAACCATATTTAAAATCTCTATAAAAATCACACTTGAAATTTTAAATTCATCAATAATTATTAATATCTAGAATATAAAGGACTTGGAGCATGCATGCTAAGATTTTGCATTTTGCACCYAATGATGGAAATATGCACAGTTTTTTAGTGTGTCTGGACGAATTTTCAAATAAGTATAAGGAATGGAAAACTTTTCATTTTCTTTTAAGACTATATTTATATATACATTTTGATTTATTGAATAAAAATTTACAAATTGGTGTCTACTTCTCTAGTAATGTTTTGTTATTATTGCTGTTGTTCTAATATCATTCAGGCTAATAACCAGTGTTWACTGTACAAGTACTTAACACCAAATATTTTTTCAAGTTAAATAAATGTGTATTTTTAAAACTCGAGTACGACATCGCTAGAATCTCTACATTCTTTTGTTGGTAAAACCCATAACTTATGGTCTGATAAATAAGTGTGAAGTGATGATGGAATGGGGAGTTCTTTTATTCTAAATGTTTTGTATTGTAGACACTTTCTAACTTGCCAACAACACAGCTGTTTCAAGGGAGGAATGTAATCTGTAAGAAAATATGRAACATGAGTTGAAGGGCTTGCAATSAAAATAGCCTAGGTGACTTTTTAGAGTATTTTTGAAACTTTCACTAAATAGAATCACTATTGCCATCACCTATTTTTGGTCTGCATAATACTGTTTGTATTAATTTTTGTGATTTGGTTTGGGAAAGAACAAAAACAACCAATAGTTATGGTCTGCCTTTTCTTGATAACTGACCGCAAGAAAATTAATGCGAGAACTGGGGAGTAACGGCAGAGACAGTGCAAGCAGTCTAGGTTTGAGAATGTCCAGAACATATGTTTTGTTTTTTTTCTTAGGYTTTTTTTTAGAGCATACTAATGTGTATATTTTTAAAGTTTATATCTACAACATTGACATAAATATTCTGAAATCACCTAAGAYGCATCTTTTAAATTCTCCTAAATCCAATAAAATACCTTCAAATAATTCTAGCCAGGCATTGAGTAGAGGATGTTGTTGAGCAACTTCTATAGGAGTACGTCCTTCATTGTCCTTTGCAAAGGGGTTACCCCCATATAACAACAACAATCTACATGTCCAGGGATCTCCTCGAATAGCACAGAGATGTAAAGGTGTAAAGCCACAGGGTCTCTTGTAAATGTGATTGGCATCACATCCTGAATTTAGTAGTAACTAGATAGAAATGAAATGCATCTTAGCCTCAACTCCATGGAATTCCTGTGTAAAAAAGCTATCATAGGAGGGGGAGGGAGGGGGAGGCTTTGTCAAGATGGTACAGGACATCATGATGGAGAATAAATCAATGTTAAAACAATGTCAAGTTACCTCAATAATCTTAAGATCTGGCTGTAATGATTGACAAGCATAGAATAATGGATTCCGTCCTGATTTCTCACATGCATTGACATCACAACCAGCTGATACCTGGTGATGAATAATTAAAAAACTAACAGAATAAATGGAATCCTACATTTATAAGTTTAAATCAATTATTAATGGATTACAATACTGTAGTTGCATCAAAACATTATGAAGGGAACAAAAATTGTGTCAAGTCAAGAAAAAAAACATGGTACAAAGAAGAGAGAAATGACAACAAAACACAGTCAAACAATCATTGACTCAAAATATATATAAGGTTATCTGAAAGCTAGAAAATGTGATCTGGACCCCATATAACTAAAATATGCTACGACGTCATATCGAAACGGATCAATTTAGTGAACTTACATAACGATAAACAAAATACAAGTTTGAAAAGTAACTTCTTACAAGGATAAAACACATTACACTTMACGACAAAAAATAACACCTTCAAAACACGAGTAATCTTACCAGAAGCCTAATACATTCGATATGATTTTCTCTACAAGCGACACAAAGCGGCGTTTGACCTTGGCTATTCCTGACTTCAAGGTCCGATCCTGCCTCAATGAGAAGCTGAAGACATCCCGTACGTCCTTCTCTGGCTGCTATATACAGTGGAGTTTCTGGGTGTTTTGTATTTAAGTTCGCTCCTGCTTGAATTAGCAATCKTACGCATTCAACATTGCCGGCGTAYGTCGCCATCCATATCGGTGTCAAGGCATTATTCCCTTGTCCAACACCATCAACTTTAGCTCCTGCTTCTAAAAGCAGCTTAACACAATCGGYGTAGCCTTCTTTAGCGGCTAAAACCAAAGCGGTTAATGCTGAGCTGTTCACACAATCAATATCTAAAGAATAAATTCTACTGTCATCGTTTCTTGGAGCTTTTTCTTGACTTCTGCAACCCTCAGATCTTGCATTCAAAAGTCGTCTGAGTAAATCTAAGTTTCCTGTTTGTGCTGAATGAAGAAGCTGAGTTTCTTTAGATCTTTCTCTGACTATTGTCTGTGTATCAACAACATTGCCCATGATCTCTATGCTTAAATTTATAGTCAACCTTCGCTTTGCTTATCAGCTGGCCGCCATCTTTGTTTTATCCGACTCGCTGATTTACCACAGGTAACCCAAACAAGAGGGCTATGTTACAAACAGCTGTTTTGCAGTCGAAGCGGAAGGAACGTTCGGACCTCAAGCCAATGAACGTTAGACATCGAATAAAGTAACCGCGGTAGAACGATTCCTCGAATACTCATACGAATAATAAAAGAGCGAAAAATCTGCGAACGTGATACAAAACTTCTGGCTCAGTACTTCTTATCTACTAAGGCCTAGCTGGCGAATCATCAAGTGCGACTCAACTCACTTTTTTGCCGACAGTGCTTTTTTTAAACTCAGATTGTAACTTTATTCTCTAAAACATACTACTTGTATTTAAGTGCTTTTTTAAACTCAGATTGTAACTTTATTCTCTAAAACATACTACTTGTATTTAAGTTAATTCCTATTGCCGTCAGCACTCTGTGGGGCTCATGTTTAAAGAAATCGACTTAATTATATTTTTATTGTTATTATCTATTAAAATATACAATGCTTATTCACAATTCCTTGTTCTTAATAAATATTGATTATCACTAAATGCAGCATAATAAGTTCTTTACATTTTCATATTTCTTTAAATGTATTAATTTCTTTTTTGCTATGATACATTCAAGCTTTTCGTATTGCTGAACAAGGTTTTGAAACGCAAACAGACTTGTAGGGTGTCTTTGCTTTTGTCTGCAGCTAGA